GTGATTCAGCTATATTTGACTTTCTTTTGGAAACAATGAGCAACATTAATATTTTACACTGGGTTTTTGTTATTGTTGCCATCATTTTGGATGAAAAGAAGAGTAATTATGTTGCTTTGACGAGTACAAACAGCTCAGGCTGCAAATGTTTGCAGATTTTTCCAAGGGTGATAGTTTTTTTAGTATACTTGTTAATTCCAACCGAGGTGGCAATTTCATTGCGAGATTTAGGAAGAGTGACCTTTGGACAGTGTTTTTTCTATTTTACATTTGGTCTTTTGAAACAAATAAAGTCTCCAATAACTTTTGCAATTTTATTCTAATATTTGAAAGGAAAAAGCCAGTTGAAAAGAGACAAAAAGGATCAATTCGGTTTCATTTGTTTTGGTCATGAGTAATTGTAAAAGTTAAGGTGAGTTGGAATGAAGAGAAAAACTCAATATGAACAAAACGATGGAGTTGTTAGGGTTTAAAACAATGGAACAGGATTTTTCGGTCCTTTGAGTTTCCAAAAATATTCAAGTTTGTTAATTACACCATTAAGCCGCCCATCCATTTGGAGCAAGAAATTTATAAAATGCCACCCTCTGCTCTCCCTTTTTTTCTTTTATGACTAGAACAATAAACGACAGACTGTATTTCCAGTGTAGTTTAACCGTATTGGTACTGGTAAAGTACTTTGCAAAAAAACGCCCCTTCTCCCCCCTATATGAAGCCCCCTCCTACTTTTTAGCTTCACCAAATCAAACGTTCATAGGGGAGGGCCTACCAGAGGATTTAATACGAGATGTACAGGCCCGCAGATGATCCCCGGCCCGCAAATGATCCCAGGACCGGAACTGATTCCACCGCAAAAAGTTAGGAATGGCGTGGACTCCGTGAAAAGTCTATGGATGGATACATATTTTCCTAATTATCCTAGGTGGAGAAAACACAGGCACCTCACACATAAAAGCAGAAATAAATAACGTTAAACATACCGCGCAAAATACCAAATTGACACCTGTCGACTGTATAAATTTTTCCATTAGGAAACGCACTGTAAAAAGAAACATGAATCTTCGAAGATGCCTCTGCCATCTAATTAACCGCCAAGAACTTTTCCCTGTAC